TATATTTTTGCAAAAAGACTGTAAGTTCTGTGTCTTTGTTTCTATGAGGGTTATTTTAGACAAATATATGCTATGTCTGAATTTTGTTTCTAAAGTCTACTGCTTTCTACAAAGTAATTACACATAATGGAGTACCTTTCGTAATATTTACTAATCTTTTAATGTATTAGATCCCATTTAGCCTTTTTAAAATTCTAGACTAACAACCTTTTTTATTTTTTTTTCTTTTTTATTTTTTTTTAAATCTTGTTGTGGACATGAGTTCTTTCTTCATTTGTCTTTGCAGGTTGCCTTCACAGTAGCCCACATGTAATCAGATCTGCTCCCTTTCACAGTTCATCTTGCTCCCCTACTCCACCACAGGTCTCTTAATATTTCCACTATCAGAGCCCTTTTTCCACTCCTTTCCAGCTGAGTAAGGCTTAAAATTGGGTGGGACTGCACTGTGTGTAACGTGAGTGCTATTTCACCACAATACACGTGCAGACACTTCTCTGTGGTTCATTGGCTGCTACCTAAAGCTCTGATCTTGTATGTGCAGGCCCTCCTCTTTCTTGATTTGAAATTCAATGACAATGAGGTAGGATTTGTCAGAGGCCACCAGTACTGCTAATCCTGATAGAACATCTGATTATCTTTAGCTGAGAGACTACAGACATTCAGGGGCGCCTTCTACAGAAACAAACAGTGATGTTGTTATTAACACCAGACCTATGGAACACAGAGTCAAGGCTAGAGCTCATTCTGGAGTAGATTATAGGAAAAAAACCAACCCAACACACAGAAAACAAAACAGAAAACCCCAACTCCCCAAGCCATGGTCTTTGCTTTCTTTTTTTGTTTGTTTCAAAATGTGAATAGGGTGGTTTCTTACTTTGAATTATATTATCACATAATGCAAAACTCCTTCCTGCGCATTCTCTTTCTCTTTTAAATCTTTAGCTTCTGTATCTTTCTCCGCTTTTCTCTAGCTCATCTGTTCTTTTTCTCTAACTATTGTATTATCCCACACAAGGAACAAGCCTGTGTAGCAGGCAGCCCCTTGCCTTCCCATGCTCCAGCCTTACATCCTCGATTCCCTAAATCTGATCTGCTTTAGTCTGTTTTGTGTTTCTAAATGGGTGGGACCTGGGTCCTTCTCAGCTAAACAACTCCAGATGCTTTGTAGAAAGTGGGGAGCCGCTGCCCATACCCTGGCAAGCCACACTAGCAGCTGCTCAATGGCACCTCCACCCTATGGAGGTGGTGTCTCCCACTGTTTGCAGCAAATCCACTGGTACTCAGAAGCTGCCAGAGGTGTAGGCATGATAACTGAGGGTTCCCAAGCTGAGTAGGAGTTTGTTGCACCCAGTCTTGAGCTTGAGTGTTGACTTTCACGCATAGGTTTGGGTTTTTTTCTAAGCTAAAGCACTTGAAAAGCCTAGTTGTACACAGCAACATGGATATACTTCAATAAAACCAAATGACAAAGATCACAGGGTGAAGAGAAAGCTCAATAAAACATTTCAGGCTGCCTGTGTAGTAAAGGAATGCACGTATGCTGTTCCTGCTAGAAAAGAAGCCAACATCGTGTATATCCAACATTTCCTTTTCCTTGCCTTAAATCAAGGGGCTTGTGGTGCTATTCCTTAGAGTCAATAAACACGCCAGGAAAAAATCTGTCTCCAGGCTGACTGCCCTTTCTCAGAACTGCCCGTAAGTGCCAGGGAGGATGGAAAAGTGGGCTGCTGGGCTGCAGAGGTGCTTAAGGGAGGAGTTGGTCAGCAAAAGAGAATTGCAGAGTTTGAAGTACAGAGAGACCTCCAGTTTTGCCAGAGCTCTTATTAAAAATGTCTAATTCACATAATGAGAAAAGCAATATCCTAAACCAAGTGATCTAAACATCTTGTCTCTCCTCCTTTCCCAGTAATTTTTAATATAATGATGGAGATTATGACTATAATATATTCTTTTCCTGATGCTTTTTGCTTTAATGCTGGATTGAAATATTGCTCTAAGAAGGGATAGGGAGACAAAGGTGGCACATTCTTGCAGTCTTGAGGAACTCTGCAGAGACTTTTTTTAATCTAGGAAAGTGCTTTTACATAGTTAGTTGAAGAAGCCTTAGTAGCAAGCTAGATTCTGAAGATCTCAGATAACAACCAGAAGATTTTTATATACGTGCTTAGAGCCTATATTCCACCATAAACTCCATGGAGAAACCTTGTGACTTTTACCTGGCTGCCACATTGTAGTGCTTTATGGGAAAACCTTGGTGGGGAAGAGGTACTTGGGCAACAGGCTTTCCCACCAGTGTCTGTCTGTCCCAAACATCTCCCTTCCTTACTGCAGCCTGTTCTCCTGGGTAGAAAAGCTCCTCAGAAATAGCTGCAAGTTAGTTCATCTTTACACTGATAGAAGACCTAATGAGAAGACACACAATCATTGCATGCCAAACTATGGATCTGTTTTAGCCTATCCATGCATCAGCGGCCATGGTGACAGGCTCATCCAAACTGCCGTGGCCTCATTATTTCTGTTCTTGCTCTGTAGGCTGCTCTGAATTCTGAGGGAAGGCCACACATGGTTAGATGATCATCTCAGCTAACACATTAGTGTGTTGATGATGCAGAAGTTTACTCTCACAAAATCAGAGGAGGTATTAATACATTGCAGAATTCCACATTGAAATGGGTGGCACAAAAAGTGAGAAAATGGTGTGTTTATAGGAAGAACCCTGCAAATAATATGTTGCATCCCTTATTTTGTGGGGAAAAAAGAGAAAAGGTATGCAAAAATACCCAAATCACACCTGTGGGGTTTTTTTAAGCCACCTTTGACTTTTGTGAATTACACTGCAAGACAGTCTCTATTGTGCAGCTAATATACCATATTGAATAAAAGTTTGTTGGCTAAAGGGAAATGGCAAAATCCTGTAAACATATCACTCATCTGTAAGGAATCCCAAATTAGAAGAGATTAAGTGCTAATATTAAAAAAAAAAAAACAAAACCAACAAAAAATAAAAACCAACCCACACCCCTCTCAGACAACTGGGAAAGCAAAGTTCAAAATCCATTTGATTTCGCCACTCATTTGGAAAATTGCAAATGGATGGATATGAAGGCTAAATCCTAGACATTAAAGGTAAAGGGGAATAAATGCAATAAGATAGGATCAAAGAAACACAGGAATAGTGTGATATTCAGGTAATAAGAAACATATATTTTTAGATGAAATCCATCTATGAAGAAGAACCAGCAGATAAATATCTGGCTTTGAGACTGGTGTTACTGGCAGAATTCTGGGGTTTTTGATCATAGGTTGGTTTAAACAACAGCAGGCTTTCTGGTGATGTAGGGTACACAGGTCTCAAAGGGAGAAAAGGATCTTTGCTCAGGAGTTAGCAGGTCTCATTGAAAGACCTTTAAACTAGATTTAAAGGGAAGAGGGGATAAAACCAGGCACGATAGAAATAAGCCAAGGGGCACCACACCCATGTTTGAGGGACCGTGTTCTAGCACGTTTCTTTGGTCTGCCATCTCAGTGGAGGTAGTGGATGGAGATCCATGTGGCAGCAAAGATGCAAGAGTTAATGATGTGATAAAAAGCACAGAAACGCCTGAGAATGGTTATGTAGGAATTGAGGCTTCTTCCCTGGAAAAAGTGGCAGGATCAGTAGCCCAGCTGAAGTACATCTACACCAGTAATGCACACAGGATGGGCAACAAGCAGGAGGAGCTGGAAGCCATTGCACAGGAGGAAAACTATGATAGTTGCCATCATGGAAACATGGTAGATGAATTCTCGATAGGTTGAGGCCAACTGTCCAACACGGGCAAGTGCCAGATCCAGCACTTTGGTCATAACAACCCCATGCGGGCTTGGGGAAGAGCGGCTGGAACGATGCCCGTTGAGAAAAGAATCTGGGTGTGCTGGTCAACAGCCAACTGAACATGAGCCAGCAGAGTGCCCAGGTGACCAAGATGGCCAATGGCATCCTGGCCTGTATCAGGAATAGTGTGGCCAGCAGGGCCAGGGCAGTGATCGTCCCCCTATACTTGGCACTGGTGAGGCTGCACCTCAAATCCTGTGTCCAGTTCTGGACCCCTCACTACAAGAAGGACATTGAGGTGCTGGAGTGTGTCCAGAGGAGGGCAACAGAGCAGGTGAAGGATCTGGAGCACAAGTCTTGGGAGAAGTGGCTGAGTGAGCTGGGTTTGTTCAGTCTGGAGAAAAGAAGGCTTGGGGAGGCCTTATTGCTCTCTACAACTACCTGAGAGGAGGTTGTAGTGAGGTGGGGGTCGGTCTCTTCTCCCAGGTAACAAGTCATAGGACAAGAGGAAATGGCCTCAGGTTGAGCCAGGGAAGGTTTTGATTGGATGCTGGGAAAAGTTTCTTCTCTGAAAGGTTTGTCAAACATTGGAACATGCTGCCCAGGGCAGTGGGTAATTTACCATCCTTGGAGGTATTTAAAAGACGGGTAGATGTGGCACTTAGAAAGACAGTTTAGTGGTGGACTCTGCAGTGTTAGGTTAAGAGTTGGACTTGATGATCTTATAGGTCTTTTCAAATCTAAAAAATTCCATGATTCTATTTAATGATTCTGTGATTTTATCTTCCTATTCCTATGGAATTACACAAAAGAGAAATGTCTTTCTTAAACTAAGTCGTTAAAGCAAAGATACTGCTGAACTGATCTGAAGCAATGCACACTGGCACTGATTTACCTGGACTATTACCAGAATCACAATCTTCACACTTTTAGGTCTTGGAATAAAATCCTGCTTCATATCTCTGCCAATATGTGTCTGGCATATTTTTGCCCTGTGCCTAGCTGGGTCTGGCTGTTGCTATCAGCTTTGTTTATTAAGCACTTCAGTATTCTACAAATAACAAAAGAAGAGGTATAATAGAGCTAGGTTTTTTTCTTATTATTAATATGTTAGATCTTTCATAGGAAAAAGGCAAAGTTTATTGAACCGAAGGGACTTTATGACTGCAAATCTTTTAACACTTACTTCTTTCACGAACCACTGGCAAAAGGCAGGGCCAATCCACTCTCTTGCATGAATCCCACAGTCTATCCAAACAGCTTTCTTGTAGGGCCGTGACCTTTTACCTAACTTGAAGTGTGAATATTCACAAAATATCAATAGATCTCAAAACATCAGTGAAACACAATAATGAGAAAATAACAGAATATGAGAAACACTAAACCATTTTGAGTTTACTCATATAAAGGAACATAAATTTATTGTTTTCAAAGGTATGGCCAAGATAATGTTAGGCACGTATGCCAGGACAATGAGGCTGATCTATGGGAAAAAAAAAAAAAAAGAAAGGAGAAGTGAGATCTCTCAATTCCTCTTTTATGAGGAATGATATCCTTAAATATCAGATGGAGTAGGGTGAGGAATAATGACACTACAGGAATAGCCTGATGAAAAATCAAATTTTCAGAACTCTTCAATGGCAGAGGAAAAGAAAATACATTGAAACTAAAATTTTTTTGTATCTTGCTGACACACTCTAATTTGTGGTCCTAATCGTGTGAGTTGGAAGCACACAGCCCTTAAATTTTGTCAGCAGCTAAAAGGGAAGTGTATGTGGCACAGGCTGAAAAAGGCTCCAGAGTCCTCTGGGGTCCCTCTCCAGCATAACTGCTCTCTTAGTTGTCTATAAACACAAAGCTTTCCAATCCCCTTAAATCCAAATCCTGCTAATTGAACTTGTCCTGTAATCTATCTTCATGTGTATCCAGTCCAAGTAAATAGGATTTGGCTTTTAGTTTTCCATCTTTTTTTTTTCTTTCTTCATTGAAGATGACATTCAGAGAGACACTTAGATCTTAGCGACTTATCCTTAGGAAATGCTGTTAAGCTGCATCTCTGGTGTATAGGCTTTAACACAAATAACAAAGTGTCTGTCCCTGATTCCAGACTTTAGTCTGATTAATGACTATTTAATCTTTACCTTGAGTACATACAGTGGTCTCCCTTCGTAGGATTTTCCAACAGAGAACATGTGAACAAGATCTGAATGAGTTCTATTCAGATGACGCATCCAGTCCTGGATCTGCAAATACAGAAATGAATCGTTGCTTCAGTCTTTGCATTTCATGGGAAGCAACTGTAATACTTTTATTAATCTCAGCTCTCAGTCCTCTGTATGTTTTTGGATTTTCCTGTAGTTTTTGGTTTTTTTGTTTGTTGGCTTTGCTTGTTAGTTTGTTTATTTGTTTTTTGGACACTAACTATTATTTGACTCTCATAGCTCTATTGCCAGAGTCTGGAAGCAGCCTTCAATCACATGGTATTTCTTTTCTCATTTCAATGTTGGATATTACTGGAATGCATTAGCTGTCCATTAAAAATCTGGGGATGGGGCTAGTCCACCATTCTCACTAAATACTAATGGAACAAAGAAAGAAGTTCCCTGATTCTGCCTGCCAGAACACAGAATGGCAAACAGATTGACTTGCAGGATTCAGTGGTACCTGGAATATTTGTTTCACAGGCACCAGACCTTCCTAAAGTGCAGCACTCTCCATGCCCGGTCTAGTGACTTTGCTTTGGAGCAGACTGAAACTGTGTATGTGAGCAGACAGAAATCAACAGAAATTATTTACCCAGCCACCATCCGAGGTAGTTAAACATGAATTTGTATCTATGTATTTTTAAGTATTTGTGCCTCTTGTGCAAATACTTAAGCATTTGTTCACACCACTTAAAAGAGTCAGTGTGACTAATCACTCACTGAAATCTCTTATTCCACTGGAGAAAAAGACCTACTTAAAAAAAAGAAGAAGTCATAAGCTGTGAAAGATAGTTACATGTAAAGATAAGCCTTGAATACGTATACTAAAACATATATATTTTCAAGAAGGTGCCTATTTTCGAAGAAGAAACACTTAGAACACTTCTGAAGATGATCAGGTAACCAGAACCTGTAGAGAGAATGTAGTAGATAAGAGGAACAATATGAATTTTCACATACTTCTTCCAGGGAGTGATACACTTCGTAGTTATACTCAGATAGGGACCTTCGATTCCTATATGACCTCAGTCCAGTTTGGTTTTCTACTGCTTTCTGTAGGTCTGATATGAGAATCCTAAGCAAAAAAGAGAGCAGTATTACTGAAAATGTAGTAGAACACACAAGCTAAATCAGAACAACAATCACATTTAGAAGAAATATAGCAGGAGTTAAACCACCCTGACTTTACTTCTGTTATACTTTGACAATAGAGTGCTTCAGGCTCGTTTGAATATAAGCTGCCAAATAAATAGTCCAGCTGCTTTGAAATGTAACAGTGCCTTCAAAAACACAATGAGCTTGTTAACGACTAAAACAGGATGATGTAAATAATGTAGCCAATGTGAAGAAGCAACCACTTTCATTTGTTTATGGAGCAGCATTTGCTGTCTTCTTTTATAATCCAGTTATATTATGTGATCCTGGATCTTCAAAAACGGATTTCAAACCATTTAAAGATCTTTTTAGGCTTAGAAAGACATGCACATACTATTTTTCTGGCATGGAACATTACATATATTTACAAGTTGTAGAGGCAAAACAAAAGAAGAGGAACATGGCAGCATTATCATTCTGTCTAAAACACAAAAAACAGCAAACAAAAATTCTTAAGTGTGCTTTGTTGTTCACATTATCTACACTGCAACAGTTGTTTGCCAGTTGTGTTAAAATAACTCAGGAAAACCACGAAACAATACCAAATGGAAATTAAATATACTTCCATAAAGTGTGAAAGGTTCTTTGCATTAAGAGTAAAATGCAGAAGGAGTTGTGTAAGTGGAAATATTTCCTGGTTTATGGCAAAAATAAATAATGAGACAAATATAAAAATATAGCAAACATCTAAAAATAATTATAAAGAAGAAGTTGGAGCATCTGTCCATTCCATGAGGCAGTAGCAGGATCTGGGAATATTGACATCAACATCAGTAACAACATGACTGTAAAACTGAGTCAATTCTTGTATGCCAACTTCTCCTAAAACATGGCAGTGTGTAATCACCGTACCACCAATTCATCATTCCTGTGAAATGATAGTGACATTCAACCTTTTATATTTTCATAGGCATCAGCTGCAATGATAGGAAGAAGATGGAAATAAATGGCATTTAATCTGCTCCTAACTCAGGTGTGCAGCAGGTACCGCAAACACAATAGGCCTATCTACATGTAATATCAAAGTAAAGGTTATTCCTGTCTTCAGATGCGTTAGTGAAGTAGTTGTATAATTTGGAATTACATTGTTCTACATCAGCAACATTCATTAAGCAAACTAAAGAATTACGATCTTGACTTGCAAATTACTATATATACTATAAGACCAGTACTGTAATGCCTGTAATTAGATTAAAGGAGTGGTTTTATTCAAGTTATTAAGACATTTAATATTTTAAAAAAATACATGACTGCTTTGCAGAATTCTGATTAGCGTAAGCACCTACCAGAATCAAGCTTTGTTCACTTTTACAATAATACATTTAATTTCATAACTCCTGATTGTTTATGCATCTGTACTCTACATGAGATTTGATAATATTTCTTTACTCTTAAGTGACTGTGTACTTTGTGTGCATATAACAGAAAGGCTCTTAAGTCTCTCAGGTTTTAGAGCAACCTAAGTAGCTTCTTTAACAGAAAACTTACAACTGAAGCAACTTGGTGCAGAGTGAGTTTATCTGATGCCTGGCTTGTTTTCATGACCATCTTGTCAAGAAGTCAAGCCTTGAGTCAGATAAGCCTGTTTTACAGACAAGTACTGGTCACCTGGTTCATTATTAGGAATGCTTAATGCTTCCTAACTTTAGAAATTTGTCACAATTTAAGCAAGCATCAGGCTGGAATTTTAGCTGGTGTTTACCTCAGATTTTCCAGTTCCAAAAGGGATGTAGCAATTTTAACTCCTTTGGGGAGTGAGTAAAAATTAAATAATAATAAAAAAACATTATGAAAACCAGCCACGTGAAAAGGAGCTGTACAAAGTCTTGCTTGTGGAGCAGCACTTCAGCTCAGTGGCTGTGCCTGGTTACCCTGCTCTCCCTGACTGTGGGTGTTGTTGGTTCCATGGCAAATCCTCCTGGCTCTTGTGGAGTTACAGATCTCAGGAGGCTTGTCAGGAACAGCACATGCTTGTAGAGGCTTTGAAGGGTTTTGCTTCTGATGGCTGGGACCATCTGAGATGGGCAGCAGGGGGATGAAGAGGGAGAGTAAAGGAAAAATCTGGACCTGACAAAATGCTGCCCAGCTTCCTTCCAAGTGCACACAACTTGTGCACCAAAAGTCAGAGGGGGGATTTTTCCCTGTGGAAGATTAATGCAATGTTGTCGTAGTATTTGTACCATGTTGCTTCAGGTAAGCTGAAGAGACCCTTTGCCCTTTCAGTTCTTTCCCTTGCACACTCTGCTCTGCAACCCAAGTAGAGGTCTTCAAGTACAGAGAGTGTTTACAACACATATAAAATGGCCTTCTGTCATTTCATTAAAGGTGATTACTGTGACCAGGAACAGCAGCAGACGTGAATACAACTGCTGGGGCACAGTAATTAGGGGGACTTTTTTTTATAAGCACAGGAAAACAATTACAGAAATCCCCATTTCACTTTTAAACATAAACAAAACTGAAGGGGTGTTGAAGACACATGAAAGTGACTCTGAACTTCAGCTATTGAGGTTGTGTAATTAATCTTCTTGTATTTGTTTCTGTGTTTTTAGAACAACAAATTTATAAGAGACAATTGTTATAATAAAAATGGAATTCTGATCAGTACATACATACATACATACATATACAGTATGATCTGCACCATCCTTTTCTCACTGAGAAATAAACAAAAATACCCTCATGTAGCTCTTTATTCAGTAAATATGTGAGAATTCAAATAACTCATCACTTGACTATTCAGATGCTTAGGCATCTCACTGAAAATTCTTCACTGACAGGATCATTACTCTTGTCCAGTATATCATAATGATAAATATGAAAGGATAAGTACGGTGCAAAATTGTCTTGAATTTTTTTAAGGAACGCTATAAACAATACGTGATCCTTAGTGTGTATGTATTTATGCCATATGACTTGTGATGGGTCACTAGGATTGGAGAGTAATAGAACTAGTGTGTTCCTGTATAGTTGATGAAGAAGGCTTGCCTCTGTGTTTGCAGCACACTCATAAGTAAACCTTGCTCCTGCTAAGTACAGAGAGAGGCAAAGCAGGCTGCAGAATTAGTAATTACCAACCCTCTCTTAACAGATGTGATTTCACATACATTGAAAACACTTCAGCTTGACTCCAAAGGAGGACATTTAATTAAAGCTGCCTGCCTGTGGGAGATTTTCTGTTCTCCCATTAAAACGGTTGTTTTCTTGGCAGTGCCTAGTTGTCTGCCAGTCTAATTGCTGTGATGTGGAATGTATTCCCAAGCGCACTTGGCGTGGGAGAGGCAGACCTGCCCCAAAGGCCAGATCTCTGGAGCAAGGCACAGCAAGTGAAGCGTGGGCTTACGTGTAGTGGATGTTGGCTTGCTGGAGGAAGGGCAGCAGGCTTCGGGTCGTGTTCTGCGGTACTCGCACGTCAGTGACCGTGCCCTCGACGATGTGGAAGGGGCTGCTGGGCTGCCACAAGTCCACCTGTAGTGCAGGAACCAACCTGTAATTCATACGCATTCAGTGTAGGTGGGGAAATCCAGGAGATGGCACGCTTGAAGGTGTGTAGGCAAACACCTTAGGCATGATACAGACAATAAACCTGCACTGGCTGGTCCAGCTTGACATCTATACTAATGGAGCAGATTTTGAGGAATGATTGTGTCCAGTTTACCACAACTCTCATGGGAGATTTGCCAGTGGGAAGAGAAAACGGTCTCCAGAATGTGCCTCCTCAAATAGTTTGAAATTAAAGGTACTTCCAGCTTCATGCACTTCCTCAGACTACCTTCCCTATGTCCTATGGAGTCTAGGAGTCTCTTTTATTTCATTAGGCATTTTCTGTGTTCACTGGGGCAGTAAAAGAATGGTAAAGAGATATAGAAGGCATAGCAGATACCACTGTTGTTTACAAAGCATTCCCAAGCTTCATTCTTGATAATAAGCAGATCAGAGGTCAGTAGCAGGGCACCAATACCATGAATACTCAAATTTTATATGAGAAGTCAAAATAACAGGATTAAGATAATCAAATCATTACAATCTTATAAAAAATTATAGCTACTGAACGATACCACTATTATTATTGTACTGCCTCTATCTGCCCACATCTGAGGGATGTTTCTTGTCCATTTTTACTTCCTTTTGTTTCCAAATCTGAAATACACTTGGAAATTCTAGCCTAAGGCATGCATGAATTTTCAAAAAAGCAAGAAAGTTTGCAAACAGGGTTTTGAAAATCAGTGTTCTACACCCTGTAGTAAAATAGTGTAGGATGCACATACTCTGCAACAGGGGTGAAAACAGTTCCTCCTCAGCCAGTGTGAGGACAGCGGCAAGAACAAAAGTTAACAAATCTCTTCCCAGAGCTGTTGGGTAGTCCTAGGAGACTATAAATGGGAGTTTCAGCAACTGTCTCTGTATCAGTGTGACAAATAAGCATGTCAGGATCCACAGGCTTTAAAAATATATGCTTGTGAGCTGAATACAAGGAATGGACTACCATGTCCACACATGTCTTAAAGAGAATTTTAAAATAATATTTGATAAAAGTCTTTTGAAGTTTATTGCATTCAGCTGTGCCAGGTTGAACTGATGGAAGTCATTAATACAGCTTGTGAGTGTCCACTGCTTTCCAGGTTTCTAAGAAGGTTTTAATAATCTGCATTTTAAAAGCTCCTGACTACTTCTATGCTATACAAGCTATTTTTGAAATATCAAATGCATTTCACCTGATCTTGCTATAACCTCATTTGTGAGGAGATTACAATCTTGAAACAAGGGTTTAATTCTCACCATTTCTCAAATGGCTGCGATTAAGAATATTCTGATTACCAAGAGGTCACCTGACACTGAACCTGATGGTAACGCATACAGCAATAGTGACCTCAGTCCAGTTAATCCAATTAAATGCCTGCTACTTTGGAAGCAGCCAAACTGAAACACAGGAGCAGCCTCTTCTAGTTCCTGCCAAAACCACTCTTTGTTTCATACTGCCACAATATGGTCCACGGATCCGAGTGATAGTGGTGGGTGGGCGCAGCATCTTTTCAAGTCTAACACCAGGACTGGCAAAGTTCACAGGGCTTGTGAGGCTGACAGCAGCTATGACAGATGGTCAGTAGAAACCAAACTCATGAATTAAATGGTGCTAAATGCTGCTTATAAATAAATATCTTCTCACTGTGCTAACACCTTATGTTTGTTAGTTTATCTGTCTTTCATATTTTGATACATTAGAGGCACCCAGTGAAATTCAACACGGTTAATTTCCCACATGGTAATTAGAAATGTGTATTAGACTTTTAAGATTTATCCCTAGAAATGCACATCAGAAAGGGAGAATTTGTTTCTCTTGGAGCAACAGTGTATCAATCAGCTTGAGCCATGTTTATAAAAATAACAACAAATTGTTACACACAGGCTAACAGCAACCAAAAGGCAGCATCCAAGCAAACAAAACTGTAATAGAAAAATAAAAAAGAAAATCATACTTCAGATACACCTGAAACTCGTCTTTGTTCTTGGCAGTTACTCAGGATTTATTTTGGTGAAATTCTCCATCATTGTGGAGGGGATAAACATCAATATTCACACTATTAGTTATAGCATCACCAAGCTTTTTAATTTATGAGGCATTCTAATTATTCCTCACATTACTGGCTACAAGTGAATATCAGAAACAGAAGCAATCTTCATGAAATCAGTGGCATATTGCACACCAGTATTCTCTTTTGGTGAAAATGAAGTATTTCACTCCTGGCATTGTCCTGGAAGTGAGACAAAAAAATCCCATATTTAGAATTCAAATGATTCCACTCCAGCTCATTTCCCTATTTGGCTTCATTTGACTGCCACTTTTCGTTCTTTGCAATGTAAACGAAGCATTCAGTGCTCCTCTGGGGGATGTTACCTGTCCTGTTCAGAGTACTTCAATTGCTGACTTGATTTTACCTTATAAAGCATATAACAAAGAACACATTTCTCCAACAGACATCTTATTTATATTGCAGCCTTCAGCTTGTCCTTGGTGTGACATAGAGACAGTGCATGAAAACTAACAAACAGAAGATGGATTTCAGGGCAGACATGCTCGGACTGAGCAAGTCCAACTATCCTTTACTCACTGTCATCTTCAGGAGACTTCATCATTGCATCTCCCATGGATACCGAGGGTCTCATAGGAGTCATTCCTCTTCTTTGAGCATCATTTCGCTCACAATTATGCCTTGGATTTCCACTCTGGGCTCTGCTGGCTAGTGAGTGGTAGTGACACTAATTGCTATCCTATCCTCTTTACTATCTGTGATGCGGTGTTGTTATCCCCACACACTATGTATTAGCTGTTATACAGTATTATGAATGGTGTACCAGTCAGTGCCAAAAGATATCTATTTGCTGTGTGGGTGGTAGGATTTGCTAGGTAGGAGGAAGATTCTCCAGCTACAAAACAAAAGATGCAGAAATCCTACAAAACCTCCTTGAACATACAGCAAAAAAATTTGAACCTCAAAATCCATCTGGTATCTTGAGGCTAGAGGAAAAGCTATGTGCTTAAGAGCATGTCTGCAAACCTAAATACTCCCATCTCCTCTACACATCTTATCCTGTCTTTCAGGAAGCAGGTTGACTTTAAAAGGTCTTGGGATGTTTTATGCCTTAAATAGTAAGTAGAGCCCATTCAAGATTTTTCAGCGTGTCCAGAGTTGGGACCAGGAGACCAATTACTCAGCACCTGCCACTGCATACAAGTGCAAGTGTGACTGTGGGTAGCTGTTCTCAGGAACAGCAGTGCACCAGTGCCCAATGAATGCTCTTTTTCAGAATCTCACTGGAGGCACGAGCATCTTCACCAGCTTTCTATGAGAAGAAATGGCATATGAAAGACTACAGTTTGCTCTCTTTTCTCAAGGGATTTAAGCATATTATTGCTTTATTAAACCAAGAAAGTATAAGAGATTATTAATTGTGACTACATAAGTAAGTATTCCTTTTTATCTTCCCGTTCTTTTTTCAAAGACTCACTTGTCCCATAGAAGACCCTGTGGTTCAACTTGGGCTTAGGAAAGCCAAGTTTCTTTTTAGGCAGTTTCTCTTTAAACCGAGGTGTTAAAGACAGCTCAAGAATATAAATGCATCACATTTTACCTGGACACCTTCCAAGGTACAGCAACTCTCTCATTAGTCATGTCTCTAAGTTTTGGCCAGTACAGTGTTGAAAAGTCAGCACAAGGCAAAGGGACAAATATTTTAAACAGATTTGGGTGCTGAACTAATAGAATTCAGAATTTTATTCCAAAGTTTAAAATGATGCAAATAATTTTCCAAGAATACAAACACTTTGTTGGTATAATGCTACATGTTACAAATGGTGTACAGAAAACTCTGTTGCCCTGCCAAGACAGAAACCAGAACAGGGAGTTTTTTCTTCACTAGTTCAGGTTTTCCTCCTGCTTATTCCATGCCTGTGTAAAGAGAGTCTAAGAAGAAAAGAGTCCCCCTGCTTTTCCCCATAAACTCTCTCATGGCTGCACAGATCTCACAGTCTTTTTTTTTTTTTTTTTATTCAAGTCACTGAAATAAATCCCCAGCTTCTTTAGACCACAGGGCTTAGTCCAGCCTTTGTAATTAAAGGTATTTTCTTGGGCAGTAGCCTCCAGTTGTCCCTCACTACCCTTTCATAAGCAGATGTTTAATTTCTTCATCCATTTATCCTGAAAGGAAGATGCTTAGTGCTCTCATCAGGTCTGCAATTGTGTATCAATCAAAAGAGATGACTGACGCTTGTCATGAAAATAACTAGAATAACTTTGCCATAACTTATATTTAATATCTGGAGAAAATTGTTTGTATGATTTATCTGTGTCATACCCCATGAAAACAGTAACTTTGCTATGCTTTATTACCTAGAAATTCCAGTTTTTACTTTTACTGAGTTGTATGTAGCAATACATGTGCCAAAGCTGGCCTTGTCCTTTACATCACTATGAACGGATTTCTTTGAGAAATGCTGTCAGCTGTAAAGTTCAGAATATAATTATTGTTATGATGCCATCAGCTGAAATGGTTTGGCATTTCTGAGCCTCTTGTGAAAGGGAATGTGCAGTCAATACTGCAAGCAGTGACAGTTTGCTCATGGACTCTCTCAGGAAGTGTGGGTTTCCCATTTGCATCCATATGCTCACGTATAGACACATGAACACCCTAAGCAGTCCTAAAACTCATTAAATATGTTTTCAATTATAAATCCGATAGTAGGAGGTAGAGAGTAGAAGAAGTAGAAACTGCTCTGGTTTTACTGATGTCATCAAAAGTCTGACTGAGTAGTCATCACATAACACACAAGAGGCAGAGTCACATGCATGTGTGTACATAAACACCCTTTGCATGCACATGCACAGTATGCAACAGAATTTTAGGCTTCTGTTGGTACATTTGAAAAGAAACAAGCAAGGAAGAATGACTCCTGTTCACTTTGACATTGG